TATATATATATATATATATATATATATATATATATATATATATATATATATATATATATATATATAATAGTTGCATGTTGGTTATATAATAGTTGCATGTTGGTTATGATTTTTAACAAATAAGCCATATGTAACGTTAAAAGAATTTTTACGATATTGTATAGTAAAGCAACATATATAAAATGTTGAGTTACCATTTTTATTAGATTATAGATATTAATGTTTATTAGAGAGATTTATAAATAGTAATTACCATATAAATATCTCGATTGTATAAATTTACCTTTTATATTATTCGTATATAAAACTAAAACTGATTTTTACCATGTTATCACATTAGTGTTTATCATAAAAAATTAACTAATTACCTTATAAATGCATGATTGTATAAATGTATTTTTTTTTACTTTCACCACATAGAACGTCTTAATAAAACTTAGTTTTTATTACTTGTACAGTCCTTTCTTCAATCCTTCACATTTTTTTCATTAATTCAAACATATAGTTGTTGATTATTCTTCCATTTTCTAATATGTTATTCTCTATGATTTTCTCAGAGAAACTCGAGAGATTGAAGAATTTGAAGCCTTGAAGATGGACCAACGGATGCAGAAATAGAAAATATATAGGGAAAGAAAAATAAAGCGATGGTTTTTCATTTCTACTAATTAATTCATTCATCATTTCTTTGCCACTGTAGTCGTAATTTCATGCTTTAATAAAGTCGTTTCTTTCTCTAATTATTCTTATTCTTTCGAGTCAGTCGCAACAAATTTCTTTATTTTATTTTATTTTATTTATATCTTCTTAATTTTCTTGATATTTTTTGCAATATTCATGTTATTTTGGGCACCGATGCTGTGTGTTAATTTGTCCGGTTGACTAATAAATGTATCTTTTTGCCACGACCCAAAACTTAGCCTGTCGCGATGGCGCCTAACGTGGTACTAGGCAAGCCGAAATTTCAAAATATTTCCTACACGTTAAATGAAAAGGAACTAAAACAGTTTAAATAATTAAAGCACTCTAAAAAATGGATGGAAAATCAAAACTCAATACGAAAATCTCCAAAACCAGGGTGTCACTAAGTACATGAGCATCTATACAACAGAAGTCTGAAAAATACCGTCTATGAAAAACTAAAACTAAATACATAAAGCTGAAAGATAGGGAAGGAGGGTCAAGGTCTGCGAACGCCAGGCAACTATCTTGAAGTCTCTGAAGGATCAAATTGCGTGGATAATCAACAACCACCGTGGCCAGAAACATCTGGATTTGCACACGAAGTGCAAGGTGTAGTGTAACGACTCGACCGACCGTTTTGAGAATTTGCATTCCGTTCAGCTATTTGAGGTATTGAGTAGCTTCATATGATGTATTATGACGTGTGTGAATTGTTCGCGTTGGTTTTCAGGTATTTTCGGAATTAGTTTTGAATAATGAATTTCATAGTTGAAGCTTTAAGTTGGAAGAGTTGACCAAATTTGACAAAGTATTCGACCTCTGATCGGAGTTTTGATGATTCTGTTAGGTCTGGATGATGATTTTGGACTCAGGTGTATGTCCGGATTTCCATTTGGATAATTCTAGAAGGTTTCGGCACTAATTGGCGAAAGTTAAAAATTTAAAGGTTTGGAAATGTTCATATGTTTGACCGAGGTTTGACTTTATTGATATCGATGTCGGATTTCGATTCTAAAAGTTATAGTAGGTCTGTTAATTCATTTATGACTTGTGTGCCAAATTTGAGATCAATCCGAGATGTTTAGGTTTGTTCGCCGTTAGTTTTGAATTTTAAAACTTCAATAACGTCATTAAATCGATATGAAGTGCAATTTGTGATTTTGATGTTGTTAAGTGAGATTTTAAACATCGAATAGATCTGCGTTATGATTTGGAACTTGCCTACAAACTTCGGGGTCGTTCGGAGTTTGTTTGATAGCATTCGGACGCTTTGTTGTAATTCTAGAAGTTCTTGAAATCTCCCTTCAACTTTCATGCGTGTTGATGTCCGATTCATGGTTTCGAGTGTTATTTTGGTGATTTGATCGTGCGAGCAAGTTTTCATGATGTTTCCAGACTTGTGTGGATGTTTAGCGTGGAGCCCCGAGGGCTCGGGTGAGTTTCAGGGTGGTTTCAGATCATTTTTGGGCCTTTTAAAGTGCTGATTTTTGGCTACAGGGGTTTGCATCACGATCGCGAACATTTGGTCGCATTAGAAAAGAGCAAACTGCAGTTTGGGGCCTTGTAAATCGTGATCGCAAAAGCCTTTTCGCGATTGCATAGGAGAAACTTCTGCTGCATAGGGCTGACTTTGGAAGCTTATATCTTGTAATTCATAAGGATTTTGGCGATGATCCAAAAAAGAAGTTGTAGCCGTTGATGTCTAGTTTTCAGAAAGTCAAACCATTTGTCATTTAGGGCTTTGTACAAAAAGTTATGGTCATTATACTAGAAGCTGTCAGGGAAGAGTTAGAAAATCATTGTTGAAGAATATTTTCCTCGCGATCGCGAAAAGATGTCCGCGATCGCGAAGAAGGAAGCTTGGGCAGTGGATTTAGTGTCCAATTTTGGAACTTTGAGCCATTTATCTACATTTTGAGCTGGGGACCTCGGGATTTAGCAATTTCTAAGGCAATTTTTATCAAATGGATTGGGGTAAGTGTTCTCTACTCGGTTTCGATTTTATTTCATGAATCTATCTTCGTTTTTGGTATTTAATTGAGCATTTCAAGAGAGAAATTGGGGGATTTTTATTAATGTTCAATAGAGTTAATTTTTGAGGTTTGAACATTGATTCGGAGTTGAATTTGAGTGAAACTAGTATAGTTGGACTCGTAATCGAATGGGTTGTCGGATTTTGTAAGTTTTGTCGGGTTCCTAGGTGCGGGCCCAGATTGGCTTTTTGGTTGACTTTGAACTTTTGATTAAAGATTCGACCTTTATTATTTGAAATTTATTCCTTAGGCATTATTTGATATATTTGAGTTGCTTTTGGCTAGTTATGAGCTGTTTAGAGGTCGGTATGCGCGGGATGGCATTTTTAGAGTATCATTTGGGTTGCTCGGTATTGGATTTGGCTTGTTCGAGGTGAGTAACACTTATAAACATGGTGTTGAGGGTATAAAATACTAAATTATGTATTATGTGATTGATGTTGAGGTGACACGCATGCTAGGTAACGGGCGGGTGAGCGTGCACCGTGTGAATTATGATTTAGTCGATTCGATGGAACTATGTAGCTATCTTATCTGAACATTTTTACTGTACTCTATATCTTACAGCACTTGAGCTATAATTTATGCTAGAAATCATATTTAGACTATATGTTGGTACTATTGGGACCCACAATGGTCGTTCTTTGCTATTGAATTATTTGCTTAATTGCAGTTATGTACTCAGTCGCATTCACCATTACATATCATATCTTAGTCTTTGTTATCATATGTTGTCACATCTCGTATCATTGATTAGGGATGCTTAGCATGAGTGTTGTGAGCCTGAGAGATTGCAGAGATTGATTACTGAGTGAGGCCGAGGGCCTGTTGTGAGTGATATTTATTGGATGGAGCTAAGTGAGGCCGAGCGCGTGATACAATTGTGATCCATGATGTTGAGTTTGATAGTTTTATGCGGCTGTGAGTCATGGTATTGAGTATGATAATTTGATACGGCTATGAGCCATGATGTTGGGGCAAGTGTATGCCTTTGTACATCATCCGAGCAGTGTGTATGCTTCTCGATATATATATATATATATATATATATATATTTGGGATATTGTGTATGCTTTAGTGAGCATTGTGTATGCTCCATAAAATATTTAAAGCATTGTGGTGTCGTTTGGATTTGAAAAGGTGTTGGGTAATTTCTTTCACCGTAGTCATGACAAGTCCTTAGTGTGTACTGTATTAAGATATGTGTACTCTTGTTGGTTAATTCTTATTAATTCTTTTGATACATATATATATATATATATATTGAGTTATTGTATAATTATTGTATTTATTATATCGTTCTTGTTGTGGTGTATTTGTATTTTCTAACACTTATTCCGAAGGTATTCAAGGTGGCGGGACGAGGATCTTAATGGGTTATATTTACTTATAACTCACTACTTACCTGCATCTCTGTGCATATACTGTCGCGGTCGATAGAGCTAGTGGCTAACAAGTTCGTTTGGGCTGATTCTATTGCTGAGGTGAGCCACCGCATTGTTCGTGGAGGCTGTCACTGCAGCTTTATCTAGTTTGTGTTACTTATTTCTTTCTCTTTGGGGTTTATATACCCGTCAGCTATATTTCCTGTCACTCTGTTAAATGCTTCATAGTGTGATGACCCAATAGGTCATCTCATATTTTAGAACTAAATTCTATGTTCTGAATCCTTAAATAACTCATTTTACCCTTTCTCGACTTGCGTGCGCATTCCGTATAATTGACCCGGAAGGCTTATATGCTAAAAACTGTTAAAAATAAGAATTTTTGCTTTAAAAGTTGATTTTAGTTGACTTCGGTCAACGTTTTGAGTAAATGAACCCGAACCTATATTTTGACGGTCCGGTGGGTCTGTATTGAAATATGGGGCCTGGGCATATGCCCGGAGTCGAATTCCGAGGTTCCTTGCTGGAGATACGAATTTTTGTTGAAAATTAAAAGTCTAAAAATTAAATGGTTTTAAGAATCTATTGATGTTTGGAATTATTGATACCGGGCCCGCATTTTAGTTCCGGAGCCTGGTACAGGTCCAATGTAATATTTATGGCATGTATGTAAAGTTTGGTAAGAAACGGAATTAGTTTGATGTGATTCAGATGTCCGGTTGAGAAAATAGAAATTCTAAAGCCTTCTTGAAAATTTCATTCAATTTGGTGCTAAATTCTTAGTTTTAGTCATTTTGGCGAGCAAGTTCGTATGATATTATTAGACTTGTGTGCACTTTTGGTTTGTAGCCCCGAGGGCTCGGGTGAGTTTCGGATAGGCTACGGGAAGTTTTACACTTAGAAATCTGTATTTTGGTGCTTCAGCTGTCATTTGGTGTCTTCTTCTTTGCATTCGCGAAGGCACTCTCGCAAGCGCAGAGAGTAAACTGGAGCTGGGTGGAAACTCTTCTTCGCGAACGCAAAGGATAGGTCACGAACGCGGAGCATCGGGGGGGCATACCCTTCGCGAATGCGTCCGGCCTCTCGCGAACGCGTAGGCATGGGACCTGGGGGAGGGGAAGTACTATATACTCTTCGAGAACGCTGCACATGGCTCGCGATTGCGTAGGCTGGTGGGCATAAGCCTTCGTGAACGCGAAAAGTATCTCACAAACGCATAAGCCACTCGGGCTGTTGCTCATCGCGAATGCGGCAGGCCCTTAGCGAACGCGAAGAAGGCTTAACGCCTGTGACTTAAAACAGACCAGAAAAATGGGAATTGGCCATTACTTTCAAATTTTCAAAACTAAGAGACCTAGCGGCAATTCTTCCACAAGATTTTCTTCCCCAAACTTTTGGTAAGTGATTCTAACCTACTTTCTTTAAATTACCCAATACATTCCATGAATTTTCAACCTAAAATGTAGGATTCCCAAGGTAGAAATTAGGGGTTTGGGTAGAATTAGGGATTTTTGGGAAATTGGGATCTAGACCTCAATTTGGGGTCGGATTTCGAAACTAATTGCATATTCGGGCTCGGGGTTAAATGGGTGAATGAGTTTTAGTCCGAACCTCGTATTTTGACCAAGCGGGCCCGAGGTCGATTTT